CAATTCATCGTTTGCACACTTGAGTGGTAGATCCAGTCGACTCTTATGGTGAAAGCTGTTTGTGTCTACGAGGTTTGGGTTCCGATTAAGGTGTCTTCAAGCTCTAATAATCCTTGGAGAAGCTACATGGCCTGCCCTCTCTTTGATAAATGATGCACCGAATACGCATTTCTTTTAGGCAAGTGAACCTAATCGATTATGCAGTATAAGATGAGTAAGATATTGTTCCCTCGAGGACTATCCTACACTACCAAGACACTATTAATCTAACCTAAGTTGAATTAACGAATTAATGGGGAAAACTAAACTATTTAAAAGAAAACTAAATAAACTAAGGAAATTAAACTAAAGAATTTTCTAAATTAAAGAAACTATGAATGAGAAGGAACTAGGGTTTGGATTTCATTTAATTATGAATTATGCAACTGTTTTATTAATTTAATTCAAGTTCAAATAATAGTGTTATTGCATGAGATGATGAATTCCCTAAATTAATTAACCAGCTTTCTCAAGTCAAGCTAATCCTTCATTTGTTTGCTAAATTAATCATATCTCTATGTAATTTTAAACAAACTTATGAGCATTAAATTCTATGGAAACCTTTAGCTTAAGAAGGGAGAGCTCCTAACTCTCTTCTCTTCCTCCACTACCACATGTGAGCTAATTACCTTTTGGTCTCATAGTCTAGCACACGGTTTATATTATTATTGGTCTAATCTACGCAATTCTTTCTCAAGTTCATGCATAAATCACTAAATCAATTGAAAGGTGATCAGGCTTTCAATGCATTAAACTCAATAATATAAACTCATCATGCAAATAACCAATAAATCTTGAATTAAACTAACAAAAACAGTCACATATTCCAAAAATTAAAATCCATCCATCCCTAATTCAAAGAAATTTAGCTATGCATGATTATGTTGTCAACAGTAGCCATAATTCGGTAATTCCAACAGACAATCATGATAAAAAATTCAAATTAAGAATCAACAACACCTGTCCAATGAAGAACAAGCCAAACTTGTGCTGCTGTCCCTCCCTAACAAAGCTGGTTGAGAAGAACAGAGGCTGTCGGCGGCGTTGGCTCTTTCACGAACAGATCTAGGTGTGGGCGTTCTCCCTTCTGCTAGTGAACAGATTTTCGAGGCTTTTTCTCCTTGTTCAGATGCGAACTGATTGGGTATTGCGTGTTGGTGTCCTCTTCTTTTGCTGGTGAACAACAGATGCGGGTGGCTGGGATTTTGGGCGGTTGGGTGCTCTTGACCTCTTGCGTAGAACAACTCTCCTTTGCGTCTGTGGGGCTCCTCGCATATCTATCTTCAGAAATTAGAAGCTCTTATTTCTCTTAACCCTAGCAAACATGGGAATTGGGCTTTGTTTTGGGTCTAGACTGCAGTTGGCCCACACCTAGAAAACATAGTCCAATTCTCTTTATTTCTGCACTATGTCCATTGTCAAAACCGTCAACTTCAACTTAAATTCTATATTGATACAGAAGGAACTGGGTTGAGCTCATAAAACATCAATTGTAGCTTTGCTTCTTAGCTTTCCAACGCCTGAAGAATCAACTCAATCCAATACCTAGAGAAAAAGATATGGTTAAATTATTGCAGCATGTGCAAATTGTCACTTATTGCAAAATTAATTCCTATCTTAATTTCCACCCACAAATATGAATTTAATATAAACAAAGGTGAAACTAAGTTACAAAAGACCCATAAAATTTAATTCTAGGCTCAAAAAGGGGTAGATAAATGCATATAAAAATTAAACTCATCAATAAATGGTAAACTAGATGTTTAATTTTCCATTGGTGGGTTGTTTTCTCGACTTTTTGCATCTAGGGTTTGTAATGTAATTTTCTTGATTTTTCTCCCTTTTTTGCTTCTGGGTTTTGACAAAAAGTTCCTGCTCTTACCTGTATTTCTTTGTGCCAATTTGATGGTCCGTGAAAAATGGTATTTCAAGGATTTCAGGGGAAGAGGAAGTGCAAATTTTGGGTGTGGATTGTTAATCCCATGGAGCCTTATCTTTTGTTAATATACTAAATTCAATGAAATAAAAAGGAAAGGTTGAATGAGCAGTTGATTAGTGAATTGAGGGCTAAATTGGATATTGAGAAAATGAAATTAAAAGAGCTTAATGATTGTATGGTTGAAAGTGCCACTGAAGTGTGAGGCACAGGTAAGTGAACAAAAGTTGAAAAGTGCAGGGAAAAAGTTCGACATTGTTGTGGACAAATTAGACATTGCTGTGGACAAATTAGACATTGCTGGGGAAACATTGAGCAATATATAGCACAAAAAGAGCTTTGGAGAGAAACTGGCAAAGTGAATCACCAAATACTGAGTTCTGAAGGAAGGCTTTTGTTATGGCCATGCCATAATCTATTTTCTTTTGATGATGTTATTGTATGTACTAGTTTAGATTGTAGAAATGGTCTTGGATGCAAAAATTGTAAGCATGGAATGTATATTGATGTTAAGGCCAAGTTGCCTTGGAAACGACATTGTACAATGTTTTCTTTTTGAATAAAACTTGTCATCTTCCTTATCAAATTGTCTTTTGCATATCATTGTGCTACTGGATAATATCTTAAATTGAAGAAATTGAATAGAAAAACAGGTTCCATTTTGTGCATCAATTAGAAAACAAAATATGCAGGTGGAATAATTTGTCTATAGACTGGGAAATAGTGATTGAAAATTAGATTTCATTTTGTCCATAAGTTTCAAAACACAACAACACAGAGATGGCTCCTGTCAACATAAACATGGATCAGTCTTTCATAAAAAATAATCACCAGAGACTAGAGATAACGCCTACCAAAAAATAAAAAGAAAAAGTCCATAACATAGATTCATGGTCAGTCTAGACTAAAATTCTGACTTTTTTGTGTGAGGCATTGACTTGAAAGTGTGGACTGTTGTTGTGAGCATGAAGGTTCAACCTCGTTGAGGGACTTTTTCTGTCTTTTTTATTTTGCATTTCCAGTATCCTTGCAAAAAGTAATACATTACTTTTAAAAAAATTATTATAACATAATAAATGATAGAATTAGGGAGAAATTATGGAATTATAACTTTTTTGAATTCTTCTTTTGTATCTTTTTAGTTGGGGGACCAGAAAATGCATCTCTAACATTCAAAACTACCCTTGGCTGAGTTTGAGGAGGAGTGGCTTTTGATTTCTGTTTAATCTTTAAAGGTTTCTATACCATTAAAATTAACATATCCAGTTAGACTTTGAAAAAACAAGTAAATAAAAAACATAAAGTAGTTAAAATAAAAAAAGTTAACCTCAGGAACATCTCTCTTGAAGGTTGGATCATCTTTCTGTGGGCATCCTCTCTTGTTATGTGCTTGAAACCCACACCAAGAGCAAGTCATTTGCACACCATTTTTTAGAAAGCTTTTCTCATCTCCTCTTGTAACTTTTGCTGTCTCATGTGCTGGTTTTCTTCTTTGCACTTTGGGTTTGCCTTTGTCCTTCTTGAATGGTGGTGGATCCAGCTTCAAACCTTTATGCAGCTTCCAAGTCTCTAATCCTTCTATACAATCAATTGAGAATTTGTATGCTTGTAGGTATGTTTACTTTCTATACCAATGTGCAACCCCATCTTCAATGTTAATATTACATGACTACATCACACAAATGGCATGACACCATGGTATACCCGTAAGATTCCACCCCCTACAAGTACATTCCTTCCTACTCATGTTCATAATAAATCTAAAATCACCCTTTGACACTTCATACTCCTCGGTCCCATTCCCTTAAGCCTTCCAGGTGCACCTTTCCTCAATATTTTCTTCCAAAATTGATCTAATTCTAGGTGCAATGTCCCCATTCCATGATGAAACAGATGCTCTTTTTATTTTTATTCTATTCATAACCATATGTCTAATTTCTTCTAACATTGTTAAAATTGCTTTGCACCTAACTTCTAAAATCCATACATTAAACACCTCAGACAAATTATTATCAACCATGTCACACTTACAATCAGTTTCAAAGAAAGCCTTCACCTAGAAATTATCTGTCAAACGAGAAATGTCATTAAATCCTTCAGGGCATTTTTCAGCAAGTTTCTGGAAATTCTTCTCAAATTGCTCCATGTAGATTGATTTGGCACATTCCCAAAACATTATTTTTTCTTCTTCCCCTTTATGCTTATTTGACCAATTGCTGTACAAGTGTCTAACACAAAATCTGTGCTTAGCCTTTGGAATTAAACCATGCACAGAAGATATAATGGCTTGAAATTTTCAATTAGAGAATGTCAATAATATTAGAAACATAATTAAAGTATAATATGAAATTATAAATAATTTCCACAAACTATTACCTTATGTTGGTCAGACATCACAACTAATCCCTCACTAAGTCCAAGATTTAAATCATTTCTAAGCAACTGCAAAAACCAGTCTCATTAGATTCACCACTAACAACTGCCCATGCAATTGGAAACATCTGCTTATTTCCATCTATACCAACTACTGTCAACAACACCCTTTTGCACATACCTTTCAAAAAACATGCATCAATGCCAATAATTCTTCTCCAACCTTTCATCCATCCTTTTTTACATGCAACCAAACAAATGTCTCTGCTTTTGAAAACAGGATTCAGATTGTTAATGTATGTGTCATACAACACATCAACAGTGTTCTCTCGGTTTTTTTCAACCAAGGTAGCTTTGTACCCCATTAAACATGCATACTCTTCCTTGTAGTTCCCTTCCAACTCATTAAGAACTATTGATTTTGCCCTCTTCATCATAGTAGTTTGAACAACCAAATTTAGCTCCTCCTTGCATGCATCCTTCAATTGCCTCAATTTAATCATTGGATTGGAGTCTATTTTAGGTTTCAAATACCTAGCAAGCCACACTGCATTAGCCATAGGATTCTCTTGTTTCTTGATATAATTGTGAGTCCTTGAATATGAAACAATTCTAAAGCACTCATCCTTCTTAAAAAGAGATGCGCTTATGTACCACTTGCAAAAAGGACCTGTGCATTGCAACCTTTGAGAGGTTGCATCATTCTTCAACCATTTAAGAACACAACCCTTCAAGATAGCATACGTCCTAATGGCTTCTTTAAACTCATCACAGTTAGTAAACTTCATACCAACCTCAAACACCAGAATATTTGTTATTTTCCCTTTAACATAAATTGGGTAAGTTGTTCTCCTTATAACTACATATTCTTTAATAGAAAATTCATCTTTAGAATTGTTTGAATCATATTCTCCAGGATCATCACTATCAATATAATTTGACTCCCCACCTCCAACAGTCAAAGTTTGGCTATCAACTAAGGGATCATAAGGCACACTATTTTCTACTAAGTTTTCAGGAAGATTAAATTGACTAAGCCTCTTCCTCTTTGTTTTTGCTTGGTTTTTCCCCCAATTTCCTAGGCCCCTTTTTCTAACACTTGGCTTATTGACAACATTTGGTGCATCAAATTCAACTGGAACAAATATTTGACTTGTGGAAATATACTGTACAGAAATTTATAAATTACCTTGAGAGTTGTTAATTGCTCCCAAGAACTCAGGATCATCATTATCACTAATGACACCAACATAAAAAAGGATTGCATCTTCTTCATTATCAAATTCAAGATCATCATTTTCATCATCACTAAACTCATTAATGCACTGATTTGAAATTTTTGAATTGCCACAATGCACAACAAATACATTCATTGTTTCGTGAGCAATCAACAGCTTAACCGTCTTTAGAATATCACTATCATTGTTTAAAGGCATTAAAACATTTGAAGTTGGTTGGTTTGGGAGTGAATAAAACATACTCTCTATGCCATATGAGCAAACTTTATTTATTTCATCAACAATATCCTTATAACAAAGGAAGTCAGGGTCTACTTCATCATCTTTAATTAAGCTACCTCTAACATAATCAACCACAGGGGACCTCACTAAAACCCCACCATAATATTTATTCAACCTAGTCTTTCCTCGCATCCTAGACAAGTATATAAAGTAAAGTGTAATCAATTAAAAATTCCATGTATTAATAGAACACCAATTTTTGAAAAAAAACAATAATAATTAAAAAA